GAAAGTAAATCACAGAACAACCAGTGCTGTCATGGAGAACAAAGCATCGTAGGTGCTTGTAGGAGGGAGTAACTCACCCTGCCTTGGGAAGGTGAAGAAGGTTTCACAGATGCGGTAACAGCCGAACTGGGTCTTCAGAGATTAGTTGAAATTTGTCAGGTGGAGAAAGGGGCACTAAGTAGAGAGAACTGGATGTGGAGAGGGTTGGACTTGAGCAAGAGCATGGCTTCTCGGGGAGCTAAGAGAAATACACAACGCATGGAATGGAGCGGTGGAAGGGAAGGGCTGGAAAGTAGCCTTGGGCCTCGTCAACTCAGCAGTGCTGGTGAGGTGGGGGCCAGCAGAAGCAGCTAAAATTGCTAGGGACCTGAGGGAACTTGTAAGTAAGCAAACTACTTAGATACATAAATCATCTCTGAAAGGACATTGGGCTATTTTTCTTGCTCTAGTGTTTCTTAAAAAATATTCTTATCGAGATGGAAAATATAGAAACTCACTTTCATATAACTCAACTGATGACATTTCAATAGCTTCATCTTTACCCAGCTGCGTGGGCTCTGTCTGCGCAAAACAGCTCTGTTCCACGGGGTACATACGCTCCTCTTCTTCACTGTTCCGTGGTCAAACGTGAGCGTTTGCAGGTACTTTCTTAGTAACTGATGATTTGACAGTAATATCAAAATAAAAGTAAGTGTTATTTTTTGCAGAAATGTCCAGGCTTTACCAGTTTGGGCAAGCATTATGTCACTCGTGGTACCAAATATTTTATTGTTAATCATCCAGTATACGGTAACTGGTCATCCAAGTAGATGAAAATAGTACGCTTTCAAGTGGTAGTTTCCAACCATCTAATTGAAATTGTTGAAAATGCAAGCAATATTCTATTATTTATTTTACTAATGAGTTTACCTGCTAAAGTTTAGTCATAGAGGAGAATTTTATATGAGATAAAAAATTTCCAGTTGGAGAGGGAAGAGAGGTTTCAAAGATGCAGACGTTAACTGCATTTAAAATCATTATAGTTTGAGTGTGAGTGCCGGTTCTGTGGGGAGGCTGTTGACAAGTTATCATTTTTCACTCAACGCATATTTACAAAAACAGAATATACCAATATAAGGATATAGAATATACAAAAATAAAATCAAACTTGAAAGTTTATTGGAAAACAGCATTTAACCACAAAGCGGGCATGATAAATACGCATTGGTGAATAAAGACAGTTTTTTGGAGTTCTTGAAAATCACATTAAAATAGAAAAGAGAATCATTACTTTTGGTTTATACATTCCCAACTTGATTAGTACAAGAAGGCACAAATCCCAAATGAAATAATCGGAATTAGAGGAATGCAACTATTATGCTGTGTTACCTTATAAATGAGATAAATATTTCTTCAGCTTATTCACCAATATAGGATGAGGCAACTTAACCACAGAATGAAAAAATGTCATCAATTTGTGTAAACAATCAGGGCAGGAAAGGCTATTTTAATTAAAGAAACATTCTTGAATTTAATTAGGTACAGTGAGACAACTGGCTAAGTGTGGAGCTAGCACACACACACACACAGAGCAAGTGCAAATCAGAAGTGTGACGTCACCACTACACATGAGAAGACAATTCAATTTGGTGGCGACAGCACACACACACACACACACACACAGCGAGTGCAAATCAGAATTGTGACGTCACCACTACACATGAGAAAACAATTCAATTTGGTGGCGACGTTTTAGAGGAAGAGCTAAGTACTTGACTGCAAAATTCTAAGGTTCATTAGTAAGTGTAAGGAATCGAAAATTCTGAATTGCCTCTAATACCGAGGCTTTTTTGACAAGAAGCCCAAAGATGTGACATGCAGGAAGCTGTGTGACATGTCAAAAATATATCGGACTGTGCTCTATAACATGATGGGCTGTCATCGCGAGCTTCCAAGGAGCATTCAGATAACCTTGCAAACATAAAGAGGAATATGACTTAATGATCAGCAGACACTGGTTTCCAAATGTGAATTTTTCTCTTTTCTTCCCCCCAAGTTTATTTATTTCATACAAAGCATTTTAAGAATTCTTTCTGAAGAACTTCAAAGACAACTCTCAGACATGTTTACCTACTTTCTTAAAAGTAAAAGAAATAGTTCACTGTTTGTTTCCTAAGAAAATGTATATCTCAAGACCTTTTGGGCTGGGGAATTGTGCCAAAAAAAATCAATCTCTTAAGGTTTCAAAGAAAAAAAAAAGTCCTTTCGGAGGGGAACAGCAGATCATGGCAGTTCAGATAGTGCATATCAGGCTACTTCGTCAGAAAAATGGTACATGATCAATATTTTTTACCAAAAGATAGTTTGCTAAATTTCAGTTTTCCTTTTTCTGACTAATAACAGCAGAGTGAAAATTTCAGAGCTACTGTCTAAATGGAAGAAATAAATGGAGCAAAGCTAACATGTACGATAATTTTACAGAATCAGCGGGAGTATGATTCTAAAACTTTCATTTCCCCAGAACGAAGTGACAGCAACTTCATCGTTGCTTACACCTCCTCAGTTGATCTTGGCTGTTTGTTTATTTGACGTGATCTATGCAATAACACCCCTTGCATCTCGGCACCACTGCCTGTTGATAGTTGTGCTTTGGCCAGTCACAGGGTGGCCAGTGCAGAATGCTTGTATTCTGTTCTGCCTGGGCCAGCCTTGACTGATGCAGCCCTGGAGAAGCAGCTCAGTGCCTGGCAGATTACAAACCCTGAAACACCACAGCAGTTTACTGCGTCGGCAAGAAGTATTAGTTCCCTTCAGCTGCCATAACAAAGTGTCACCAACTGGATGGCTTCAAACAACAGAAATTTATTCTCTCACGGTTCTGGTGGCTAGGAGCGGACATCGAGGGGTCAGTAGGGCCGTGCTCCCTCTGAAAGGGCTCTAGGACAGAATTCTTTCTTGACTCTCCCTAGCTTCTGGTAGCTCCCCGCAAACAGTGGCTGCATCACTCCAGTCACGCCTCCGCTGTCACATGGCCTTCTTTCCTCTGTGTCTCTGTGTCTTCTGCTCTTTTTAAAGACACCACTCATTGGCTTTGGGGCCCATACGATCCCCGTATGATCTTATCATAACTGATTACATCTGCAAAGACCTCATTTCCAAGCAAGGTCACATTCTGAGGTTCCAAGTTGACATGAATTTTAGGGGGATGTATTCAACCCACTATACCGAGCAATGGAAATGCTATAAATTTCATCTTACCTAGAGTAAAATCAGTTGGTATATAAGTATTTTTTTTACGTTTCGGTCTTTAAATTCTAGATCCGGATGATTACTCTTGTGGTTTTAGTTGAATATGATATTGGCTCTCGTGCTAGGATCATTAATGAAAAATAGCATGTTGTAAAATGTTAAATGTAAAACATAAACCCAGAATTTCTCCCAGGACTTCTCCCTAACTGAGGTTCATTCATGGAGATACTTGCCCCTAGTAGGTCTAAGTAATCTGTTTGTGTGTCAAGTCAGATTATGAAGGATTTTATACACTAAGGCATTTGAACTTGACTCCATAGGAAAGGAAGAACCAGTAGAGACGCATTATTTTAGAAAGACAGTTCAGATGGATCATACTGTGTAAGTTTAATGTGTATAACATGACGATTTAATACACATGTATATTGTGAAATGGTTACCACAAGAAGGTTCGTTAACACATTCATCCCCTCACATAATTATAATTTGTGTGCTGAGAACATTTAAGATCAATCTTAGCTAAGATTTATTGAGCATTTTCTACGTGCCAGGCACTACGCTAAGCACTTTTTATGTACTAATTTATTTGATCCTTTCAATAATCCTATGAAGCAGTACTCTTAAAATGTTGATTTCAGAGGAAGACACCGAGGCACAAATACTTGGCAAAGATCACATACATCATGATTGGAGGAGCCAGGATTTTAACCCACAGAATCTGGTGAGGGAAAGGGCGGAATCGGGGATGACTGTTGGGATTGGGAGACTGAGTGGGTGGTTGTGTCTTTAGCCAGCATTGAAAATGCAGAACAGCACCTTTGGGGGGAGGTGACCGGAAAGGTTATGAGTCAGGAGATTTAGTTTTGGATCTAGTATTAAGTTTGAAGAGCTGTCGGTGGGAAATCCAAGTGGATACGTCCAATAGATAGTTGATAGTAAGTACTAGAAATAATATTTGGTGTCAAAATTCATGTTTTCCCAAAAAGAAAATACCGTTTCATGTCTATATTTACGCAGCTGCGGTAAAAACATGTAAAAATGGTGATTCTATCTCCCAGCTCAAAAAAGGAAGAATGCTTTTCACAGGGGGATGTGTCCGTGATCGTGTGTCCTCACGTCCTCGTTACACTAAGTCGGGTAGGTAAATAACTGCCTTACCTGAAACTCTGTGACATTTTTCAGCCAGGCCGATAGAGGAGAGGAATCCATTCATTACGATTTGTTCCCACCCGATCGTAAGCGCCTTTACCGCATTACGAACGCCCCTCAAATTCTCACCCTCTGCTGCCCGCATTCCTCTAGAGATACCCCTACCTCACTCGAACCCCGGGGTATTCCAGTTCAAACCCGATGGTTTATGGGAACTGCTTTTGTTGAACTCGTTAAAGAAAGAAAGGCCTGTGAATTCTCTTCCCGAAGCGCTGCCTGTTTTCTGTGTCGTTTCGGTCTCATTAATCAGCGCCGCAGCAAGGTAGACGCTGCACTGTGTGCTGTACTGTCCCCAGCACAGCGGCGCCCGCGTCTCTGCCCCGAGGCCGACACACTGGGGAGAAAGGCGGAGGGAAACCATCAATCTTCCCAGCTGCACGTGTCAGCAGCGAGTCCTTCCCCCTTCCTGTTGGCCGTCTCTCTCACCACCTGTGTTTAGAATTAGCCCTGAAGCTGCTGCCCACATGAATAAGAACCACTGTCCCTGTCACCTGCCCTGGGACAGACCAGCACTTCCAAACGAAAACAGGGAGGACACAGGGCAGTTGTCGCTGCTGTGAGCGGTGCAAGAGAGAGGGGCACCCGGATTGTAAGTCATACATTCCAGAAGGTAGCATCATCAGTCATTGGAGCCGGGGGGTTAAAAGCAGATAATTTCTCGGTGCCTGGCTATATCCTCCCTCTGAAGTACAGGCGGCTAAAGTCGATCTACCTAGGTTCCAGTCGAGATGCCACTGTTTGCTAGCTGTGTACCTCTCACAGAACTCCCCCGTGCCTCAGTTTCTTCACCTGTAAAACAGATGATAATATCACCTACCTCACTGGGTTTCTCGTAAGGGTTAAATGAAATTTCGCATTCGTAGCTCTTGCCATAGTACTTTGTATGTACTAAGCACTCAATAAACGTCAGCCATTATTATTGTTAATGTCATCGTTCAGATGATAAAACTGAGGTTCAGAGAAGTTATTTGGTGCAATGTACTCGATGTAGATGGAATTTTTATATAGCACCGCCTGATCCCCAGAATTCCTGCCCTTTCTATTATATTACTTCCATTCTAGTCTCGTCTTACAAATAAATTCCTACGTGAGCTTAATAAATCACTTCATTTTATTTCTGTCTTTATTTACCAGGGTGCAAAATGAAAATGGCAACAACTGACTTTCCTGTTGGTACGAGACTCTATACCTGTCGATTAATATAATCAGCCGTATGCAGAAAAACTAGGCATGTTTCAAAAAAATTCGTTCCAGAAAATGTTCATGCCCTGGATAAAAGCTAAATAATACAAAAGTGTCAAAAAGAAAACATGGCTCCCATTCCTCGGGGTAACCATTATGAAGTCAGACGTGTATCCTCCTATCTTGTCGACATTCATCTGTTTAACTCACGTTGACGCAGAACCACTGCGGGCTGAGCACTGTGCCTGGGCCCCGAGGCGGATGCCGTTAGCCCCCGGTCACGGACGGGAAGGTTCGCTGACTTGCACAGGGAAACAGCTAGTGCCCTGCAGAGCGGGTGCCGGACTCGGCGTTCTGGCTCCGAATCGGGCCTGTTCAACCCCACTCTGTGCCCTCAGCACCTTACATTTTTGTTACCTGTTTCATAGTATTCCATCGCCTAAAAATAAAACTATGATGTATTTAACATTTCCCCTGCCGACGGACGTTTAGTTGCTTGTAGTTCTTTTGTTATTAAATAACCGTGTAGGG